CGGGCCCCCTGGGCTCAGACAGTCAGTGACAGTTACTTAACTACCTTTTACCCTCCAGGCAGACCTTGGGTCATGGTCATTCTGAGAGGTCCTGCTCCCCGCTGACCCCCTGAGCAGCTCTGCCCCCCTCCTGTGGAGTTCAGGGAGAAGCAGACCTGATAAGGTTCTAAGCAGGGGCGGGGGCACCTGCCTAGCCTTAGGACCAGCCCCACTCCCCTGTCCCGACCACTTTCCCAGGCTACAGATCAAGGTTCAAATAGCAGTGCTTCCCAAATGGGTTCACAGATGGGTGTTTTTTTCTTTTATTTGAAGAGTTACGCATTTATTTCAGTATTTATTAGGAAATAAACAGCACATTGGACCCACGATTTCCAGACCTTGCTTAGGTCAAGGCAAAGTTTTCAAAAGCGAGTGGATTTAAGGCGACTTTGAAGAAGGACATTGGGAGTGTGGTGGAGGAGGTCGTCTGCAGACAGGCAGAGTCCTGGGGAGGGGGAAGGCTGCAAGTTTGGGGGACACTGCACTTCAGCAATAACCAGGCCCTTCGCCTTTGCGAGATCTCCTCAATGGCTTCTGCTGGGCCCTGCCGAGGGGGCCCCGTTCCCAAACCCTGACCTTAAAGAACTTGCCTTCAGGCCAGGCTGGCGAGTGGTACTGGGCGGTTGGCTGCCTGGATGGGCTCCGGTCCCTCCTGGGCACTTGGGGCCTGGACGCTGCAGCCCAGGGAGGAGGTAATGGGTGGCTTGAGCTTTACGGTCTGTAAAGCGTTTCCCTTCGGAGATGGTGTGGGGGGTGGCGCAGGGTGAGCCCTGGAGCCTCTAGAGCTTTGCCGTCCTCACCCAGAAGTGCAGACGGTGGGCCGCCGTGAGGACGCCAAGGTGATGCCCAAGCAAGGAACCCCCCTCCCAGGATGGCGGCCTCCGGGGTGAGGGGTTGGCCGGGCCCTCCCGCTCAGGGAGCGTGTAGACCCCGGGGGTCTTGCCGCACCTGCTCCTGCCGGCTCCTCGGCTGGTGGGGGAGGCCGGGCCCGCGCCCCAAGCTGCCCGCTCCAGGAGCCTTGTGCCGCCTCCCTTGCCGCGCTGATTGTTTTGTTACAGGGTGCCCCTCCAGGGCAGAAGAGGTCACAGGTAGCTCTGCCTCACCCTCCCTCCCAGCACTGCTCTGGCCCTGAGCGATCGCGGCCAGAGGGGAGACAGCGTGCCTGTCCACATGTTCCTGGACAGGCGTGTGCTGGAACCTGGAAGAGGGACGTGGGACCCGGAAAGGCCGAGTGGAGGACAGACTGGGGTTCGAGGGTTGGCATCCGGTGCTGGTCAGCAGCGTCCAGTTTCTGGGCCCAGGCGTCATCTTTAATCCGCACGGCGGCCCTGAGCCACGTGTGCTGCTGTTCCACACACAGACCGGGGAAGTGGCTTCCCTAGTGTCACCAGGTTAACCTGGTTAACCAGGGTGGCCGGGGGGGGGGGGGGGGGCGTCACGGGAGATGGCGTTTCTTCCTGGAGGGCTCCAGATGCTATTCCCAGGCGCTTGGCTTTGTTCCTGTGAGCTCCTGTGTACAGGAGTTAGGGGATTAGCCGCGATTGCCTGGCTGGGACAAGCCAAAATGGTTAAGGGTTGGCTGGATGGTCCCTCTGCCTTCCTGATCCTGCGATCTGTTCATCACAAAAGCACAAACCCTAAGTCGCACAGATCTGGCCCCGGGGAGAGCGGAGAACTTGGTGCCGGCACCCCAAGCCATCTGCTCGCGGGGCTCTGTGGAGTGGTGGCTGGCGGGAGCCTTGGCACCCCCACAGATGGACCCAAGACCCGAAGGGGCCGTGGCCTGCCGTGGTCAAACCCTCTTCCTGTCCCCTCCCTGGCCGCCTTTGCACCTGGCAGCCCCCTAAAGGATGAAGCGTGCACGGTTTCAGCCCGTTGGCCCGTCCTCCCGCCAGATCCTTTCCCTAGGGCCTTCTGTGTCCAGGGCCACCTCCGGCCCTCTTTGCTGCGCTGTGTAAGGGCTTGGGGTCTTAGAAGCCGCTCTTTAGCCCAGATACACGTACTTTTTTTTTTTTTTGTCTTTGTGCAATAATCAGTGTTCCTGGTGGAGCCTCAGCCTAGCTGCGGCCTGGAGAGGAGGCGGAGGGCGCCTCCTCCAGGAAGCCCTCAGCCTGGCCCTGCCGCTGTGACTATCGCACTCCCAGTCGCTGTACAGTTTCTATGGTGTGAATGAACTTCCCTCCTGTTTGCTGACGGCGCTGGTCCCTGCTGGCCCAGATGGCCCGGGCATAGAGAAACCAAGTGGCAGCTCCCACCGTGTTGTTTTGAATAAAAACCCAGAAGCCTATTTCAGAAATTTTCTACGTGTCTGTGCTGTTCTTTTTGTAGCAGGGTGGGTGTCGAGCTGGGGGGGTTCCCAGGGGTGGGGTGGTGATAGGTTTTCTCCATCATGTTCAAGCTGTGGGGCTTAGGGTGTCTGGGACCTAGAAAAAATGCCCCCATGGAAAGGTCCTCCCATGGCTGAGGTCAACTGGGCTGGGGAGGAGGCGGAGCCTGGCTCTCACGCTCTGATTCCGTAGCTAAGATGCTGGGCCTGTGTGGGAGTAATCTACTCACCTTTGGCACTGTTAACTGAATTCATATTATGGGTCTTATTAGGACTCTCTCGGCTGCAAAGACAAAAACCCAATTCGAACGAGTGTTAAGCATAAAAGGAAGAGCCAGAGAGAGAGAAAAGGAAAAAGGAGAGGAAACAAAAAAATAAGAAGAAACGACTTAGTGGTTCAAGTAGCTAAAAAGCCCAGAGATGGTGTCGGCTTCAGGTATAGTTGGATCAAGGGCTCCAACTATGTTAATAGGACACAGCCTCTCTTCACCTCTTGGATCAGCTTCCTTCTATGTTTGCTCCCCTCCTCCCCTAGTGGCCAGCAGCAGCCCAGGCTTAGGGCCTGTCTACCCATCCCCAGATGAATGACAGCTTCTCTCCCTGACAGTCTGGCAAAGTCCATGGAATCTCATCAGCTGACTTGGGTATGTGCTATGGAGTTGCCATGCTCTGATTGGCCAAGACTGAACTCTGGGATCCAGGGGTGGGGGTGACCCACCTGCCTAGGAGCAGGAAAGGACACACTGCTGTGTACTTGCCGGGAGGAGGGAACACGCCAGGCCTGGGGTGTGGTCCCTGGGATGGGCAACTGTCACAACTGCCCTCCAAGATGAGGCAAGAGGCCCAGAGAAGTCCGGAGACTGGACATCCACAGGCTGAGAGCAGAACAGCCAAGCTGGTGGCGAGAGGGGCTGCCCATCCCCACCAGCCTTGTCTGGGCCTCTTGTCCCCCGCATGTATCCTTTCTCTCCCTGGGGGCATGGCCGGGGCAGGGACATGGGGGCATTGGGTGTGACCTTCAGGGCAGCACCTCCGTCTCTGAGGCCCCACCCACTCTGAAGAATGGGGGTGAGCTAAGGCTACCTTTTGTCCTCTCACCCCGTGTCCCCCGTTTTTGCCTTGTGATCCCTTTCCGGTGGCCGCTGCCGCTCTCGGAGATAATAGCGAAATCTGCCACCGTCCAGGTTCCTCCGAGGGAGCCGGACGTGGTGCTCCAGGCTGACTGCCAACCTGCTCAGAGCACTAGGCTTTCCCTGCTCTGGGTGTCTCGAGGCGGGGGCACCCCTGAAAGGCCTTTCTACCTGGGCATCTGTCTCCCTGCAGATGAAGCAGGGGGTGCAGGGGTGCAGGGAGAGGGGGCGAACCTGAGGCGTATGCACAGGTGCAGCGAGTGTACCTGAGTGCAGGTCCCAACACCTGCTGCGGTGCCCGGATCTGTGAGAGCAGGCCTGGCCCCAGCTCCCGGCTGCCTGCCGTCATCCGGAGAGGGATCTTACCCCCACTTTCCACCCGTCTGAACCCTGGGGCCCTGGACCAGCGGGCTGCCCCTCCTGAGCCTCACCCCTCACCTGTGAGGCCTGGCTTAGCCGCCCAGCTGTGGATCCCAGGGCCGAGAGGTCCCCAGGGAACCTTGGCTCCTGTGGACCCCTGGCTTCAGCCCCTCCTCACCCAGCCCCTTGAGACAGAGCTGCTGGATGCCCCCACCTGGCGCCTCAGACCCCATGTATCCCAAACCCCGAGATGGCCTTCCCCAATCACCCAGCCCCTCCTGAAAACCAGGATGCTGGCCGCAACTCCTCCCTCTGCCTCTGCCACCATCGACCCATCACCAAGCCTGCCCTTCTGCCTGCCGCGAGCCTCTCCGGATCGCCCACTCTGCTGCCTGCTAAGGGGTCTCATCACCTGGGGTGCCCCTGCATGGTCACAGACCTCCCGGAGCCAGCACGAGCTCCTCCGATCCACAGCTCCGAGCAGCCAGCACGGGGTTCCCACCAGACAGACCCAGGGGCCCCTTCTCCAGGGCTCCAGGCTGCCGGCGAGATGAAGTCCTGACCCTTCAGCTGGCGCGTCCCCGATCACCGCCTCATTTCCTGCGGCTCTCCTTCCAGTCTTTGCTCCCGCCGTCTCTGTCCCCATCCCGCCACTGCCTCCTCGTTCCCGGGACCCTTGTGGTCAGGCCTTTCCAAGGCCTTTCCCTCTGGGGGCCACCCACCCGCTGCCCACCCCACACCTCTCCCCCCAGCCCGGGCCTCTCTCTGGCCGCCGCCTCGCCCTGCCGCCTGCCAGAGGGAGGGCCCAGGTCTGGGGCAAGAGAGGCAGGTGTGCGGGGGGCCCCCGGTCTGACAGACCTCAGCTGACAGGTCGGAGGCCTCAGGCAAGCTCTGGCTTCATTCCCTCCGCTAACACTTGTGAGGAAGATAAGCTAGTGGGCCCCGATCCAGCCGGATGCTGGGGCCACAGAGAAGAACCCAGTGCGGCCCTGTCTGTGGTTCCTTCCACACGGGCCCCAGCCACCGTGCCCAAGCCCCACACACGGCAGGGTGACCAGTGTTGGGGAACACAGGCCCCATGGCAGTAGCCCCTTGGCTGAGTGGGCACCGGTTTACTTCTGCCCCAACTCTGTCTAAACATGGCCTTGGCCCTGACCACCTGGGCCTGTCCTCAGCGTCCTGTAGGACGAGGCCCACCCTCCAGCACCTCACCTGTTCCCTTTCTCCCCATTCCCTGGCGAACCCTTACTTACCCGTTCTGGTCTCATCTCAAATGTCACTTCTTCCAGGAAGCCTCCCAAGCTGCTCTGTGGCTTTGTCTGCTGCCTGGCTGTGTCCCAGCTCAAAGACAGTGACCATCGTCCCTCCTCCCAGCCCAGAGCTTGGTGCCAGGCTGAGCCTCAGCAAATGTCAGCTACGTGCCTGTGTTTTGGAAGCAGAAGAGATCTTGGAGGCCAGCTAAACCCATCTCTCATTTCTCTACCAGAGGAAGCCGAGGCCCAGAGAGACAGAATGGTGTACTCTGGGTCACACAGGGAGGCAGTGCCAGGGGTGACTGTCACTTGCGTGGCCACGGCCCCCTCTGCAGCTGCTGTGTCCCCGGGGAGCAGGGCCCTGCTTTGTTTTCCTCTCCCTTACCCATTAATAATAGGATTAAGAGCAAGTTGTTGCCAAGGAGAGAGACTGACTTTAAAAAACCGACCTAAGCACACTTTAAGAGAATGAAAAACTTCAGCCATCAGCACTTTTTATTTAGACCCGAATTCATGAATTTTAACCAAATAGGCACTGGCACGTTAGGTATTAATATATGTGCAATTATGTAAAACCACTATTATGGCTGTAATGAAAATTAGATTCTGACTAGGTGGTGGCGTTCCAGGAGGGAGGCGTCCTCTGGATTCCAACGCTGTGACCTCCGATCGCTGTTGCCATGGTAACGTGGCTGCCTTGGGACTGTGTGGACAGGAGGCTGGTCCTGCGGGGAAGGGCAGCTGACAAGGCTGGCCTGGGCTGGGCTGGTTCGGACCTGCGGACCCCATATCTGGGCCAGGGCAGGGCTGCTCCGATCACC